TATTTATTACTTGATCAATAAACTAGCTTTAAATGATATTCGCTTGCTTGGCAGGTATACCCATGTTTATTAACAGGCTTTTGTTTATCAATAAAGTAGTGGACGCATTTTAAGCTTCACCGCAAAAGACTACAAAGTTTTGTTCTACTTAGCCCTAACGCATTATTGAATAATAATAATAATTTGATAATGATAAAGGACAAGACTATTTAGGAAATATTAATAACATTTGTTCTATAATGTTCCATCAGTAATTATCCACGCCTGAAATAGCATAAAATATTAGGAAAATCTGATAATGACCCAAAATATTTATTGTTACTATAAGTGAGCTACTATTTATTAAATATAATGATTATTCAATGTTATGACAAGGCTAGATTTATTTGCAGCTATACATATCCTTGGCCTGATTAATTAGGATTTAATAAAGAAAATATTTTCTCAACATCTTTAAGCTTTCTTTAAATGCTTTTTTCACCCCTAATCATACTAAAACTCGATATATTATTCAAACTCAAATTTATACTCCTAATCATACATATTACTTTAGTCCGTCACATATCTCAGTTGGCTGGGACTCATTTCGGCCCCAGAACCAGCACATTTGGCTCTTCCTGGACAAAATGCTCCTCCACCTTGTCCCTTTATGGCCACAATCCGCCGTTCCGATATCGAAGTGCGCCGAGTGCTTCATGAGTTCAAGGAGCTATGGTAAGATAAATGGATTCACATGAATTACTTTAATGGGTAGTTCTACATCAACATGCTTCTTTTCCATAAGGAAATGAAATCTGTGGTACATATGTACATCATTCAAACGTGACTCATAGGTTTGACCAAAATGCGCAAAATATCTATTTGTTTAACTCTCAAACTATTAGTCATTCGGTAGATTATTATATTAGCACTCGATGACATATTTTTCTAATGTAATAGATATATTTTATTTTCTTCTGTTTATTCTAGGTGGGTTTTTTAGGTGTTAGTTCTTATACAGTTCGTGTAGTACGTTTTCCTTTATTTTTTCATATAGATTACTCCTGAATATGTCTTGATGAAATATTTTGATAAATAAACACAAATAGTATATGAATTGCCTAATTAATCATTATCGTAACGAGGATGCTTTTTCTTGGCATATTATTGTTTAGGCCTCTAATTATTTTAAGCTGGCTTTCTTTTAATTTATAACACTGCAACATTTAACATATTTCTTGTCATTATGGCATAAAATACATATATTGAATGCGAAAGAATTTGCCATCATTATTCATCATATTTAATTCTTATGAAGTTAGGATCTTAAAGATTTATTCTAACAGACTTAAGCTATTTTAGCTTCTAGGCATATAGTTATATGATATTTCAAGAATAAAATCAGCATAATCTAATTGTTTTTCAAATTTATTTAATGATGTGGACAATTAAACAAATTAGCAATCAACACTTAAAATAATTATTAGCTGAAATAGGCAAATGTTACTTACATTTATGCTATCCTCTCATCCATCCACTAAGCTATTTCTATAAATCACTTGCACTCTTTAACGTTAAATAGCATTAAAAAACTTGTGACACCGTGCAAATCGATTAGCAACTAATTATTATCTATTTAAGCATAATTTTCTTTTGGCCTCTAGGCAGATCAACAAGGAGATTAAAGAAACGTAAAATAAATTTGTGATACTCTATAGAAGAGCTATATGTTTTAGAAAAAAGTTTTTTTAAAATTGTTTTTCTTACTCTAATCGAAATAAGCAAAGGAGGAATTATTATATATTTTAGAAATTCTTGCTATTGCCAAACAATAGGGTAACTTAATGAAACACTTTCAGTCAATAAACACTACTATAATTTTTTACTTTGAATTGGCTTATTTCATTGTTCGCTCAAATAGCCATCACTCCTTTTTGCGATTATGTCAATATACAAATTTTGACTTAAAATCTTACAATCAGAAGAAATTGAAGTTATCCATTATGTCGCAAAATATACCTTTATAAAATTTTGTACATCTTTATCCAATCATCTAGTTCTCTTATTCATAGACATATTTCTGAATGTGTTACCATGTTTAAAACTATATATAGCAATTATCTTTCGTTTACTATAGAAGAGTTTACTCAAATTCTATCTTGCCAAAAGAATAATATTATCATATTCTTCATGGTTGCTCTAGTTGAAGAGTTTAGGTAAATAGACATAAGAAATAAACATACGGTAGCAGGGCCGAACTCTTTTAATATACTAATTAATACAGATCTGTAAATATGATCGCCGAAATCTATGAAGAACTTCTAAAAATTGGGATTTTCTTGTGTCCATTTTATTCTCAATTGAAATACTTGAGCCTACGTTAGCTCTATGCTTTGCAAGGCAGTGCAGCTTACTCAGGATAAGTTTTCCTTTTTATTTAATTATTTCTGCAGATTTTTATCTTAATTTATGGCGACCTTAAAATCACATCTGCAATGGTCGTGGAGCCCTCTTACTATATAGCAAAATATTGTTTTTACCTAGCACTAGAAAAAGTGATTAACTGAAAATAATTTTAGTTGTGTTTCTGATGTAATCTCTGCTAGTGTCCTTTTAGCCCAGTGTAAACCATTTGTTTATAGCCCTTCATTGATCAAAACTCCAAATAGCTTTAATTGATTAAGCGATCATGAGCATACTAACGAATTCTGGCTTGACCACGGACAGATATTTCCTTCTGTTTGTGAGCCTTTTGTTTCCTAAGCAGATTGAGGTTATTTGATAATATAACTTGAAGATTATTTGCCTTTTACGCTAATTTTATTTCGCATTTATACCATTCGATTAGTTCCCTAACTTAAAATTTCTGGAAAAACTGCCTTAATATAAGCTATTTTTCTTAATCTCGAATAGGTGGGACAAGGTTAATGAACACCTTGAATGATAATTCGGAATGGCCTGGCCAGAAAATAGTCCAAAGATATATACTATTCGTAAGCCCGTCGTAGAGAAGCAAGTTTTAACGAATTCAATATTCTTTACATTTTTGTTTTCCTGGCGAAAATAATGGTGTGAGCTAAGATACAAGCACTGCGTGTAGATGATGAAACAGTGAGAAACTTGTAGATTCATGCGAGAACTGTAGAGATCTGAGTTTATTACCACCATATAATCGAGAAAAGAAGGCAAATATATTTCTCGCCCTAAGAAGATCCTCTGAAGTCATTTTTAGGCAAACTATTAGGCTACTTGAAATTAAGTATCAGTGTCACACAGGCAGAAACATGCCAAAGCAAACAAGAGGCATTCATGCTCTCGCAAAGGTCTATTACATCTAACAGAAAGGTCTAAATAGAGATAATAGGAAATTATAGCGGAAAATGTCTAACTACATGCTAAACTAAATCGAAGGAGAAAAGTGACAAAATATAGGACTATCGAGTAAGAGTAGGAGGCTTGGCTAACCTGGAGAGTAACTTGGGCTTTAATATCCCAATCTACACAGGGCTATGGCATATACAGTTTAAATATGCAATCCTACACAAAAAACGGGTCTATTCTACTTAATTGTTGAGATTAGTTCCATTTCGAGTGAAAGTGTTGGGTGAAGAGATTTGAAGGTCGGTTCCACCAGAAGACGACGGCGGATT